CTCAGCAAAAATCTAAGTAATTCTTTTATCTAACAATTTTTGGCTACTTTACCTTTCTGTTGCATTTTTTCTGAATCCAAGTAAAATAGAACTTTGTATTCTCCTCCTAAGGACCCAGACTGTAAATAATGAGTGCCATACTTGTCAATTAGTTTTCGGTAAGCACTGTAATCATAGAAGGCAGGAAGATAGGATAATTCCTTCCAGAATGGCTCAGCAAGATGCAAAAAATCCGGATTGTTATTGATAAACTGGGCTACTTCCACAGTGTTCTGAATAATTAGTAACTGATAACTCTAAGAAAAGAAGAAAGAACAAAAAGAATGTTAGGTACAGATTGAAAAACAGGGAAACAATTCCTTCTTTACCTTCTTCATCAACCATCTGCTATTTCCAATTAACCCAGACTATGACTGTTTTTTTTAATTTTTTTTTATTATTTTTGTGTGCATGTACCGTCAAATCAGATCTGACTGGTACTGGAGGAGATTGTCCCTCCTTCCCCGGCAGAGCATCTGGTGGATTCGGACTGTGCGCCTCTGGGATTGTAGTTGCAGCTCCTTGCCACTAGGCCACCAGAGCTCCCCTCAGACTATGACTTTTGATATTTGATCCATAATTAGATCTCTTCAGAGACCACACTCTGGAAATAATTTAGGAATTGTTTAAAGTCCCAGATAGGAGAAGTTCTAAATGATGCCATGCTTTCTCTAGTTGCTGTGATTTCCCCAACTAGAAAGAGAGCCAACTTTGTAACTGAGAAACAATGTCACAAATGAGTGTATTAAAAGAATGTGCTCCTATGGCTCACATCTTCAGGGTAACTTAGAAGGAAGATAAATGTGAAATTTCTCTCCCCGATTCGGCTACTTTGAGGTAAGCCACTTAGAATAACATCTCTCAAAGACTTCTTAAACTTCCCTTCATGATACCCAAGATGGATCTACCTTATACCGATCTTCATTTTTATGAACAGTATTATACAGAGAAGACAAATTATTCTACAGTGTTATTTCCACAGTCAATTTCTTAGGTGTAAAACAAATAAAGTCAATATTACTTTAACGTACTTTGCTTGACTCTCAGATTAAGTTATCTACTTTAAGAGTGAGATAAAATTTTGCAGATTATGATGACACTGAAAATCTCTTCAGCAATAAATATGTATCAATTAGTCTAATATATTTTAATTGTTCAGATTCTAAAGATGAAAGTTCTAAATTTTAAAGTCATTATGCTTAAAAATTAATTATTTGCATTCCTCAGATGAAAAAAAATTAATATCTCAAAAATTAAGTGTTTTAAGACCTTTCAGCTTTACACCATTTGCATGTATAGCACTTAAAATAGTAATGTATTATGTCAGTAGTCAGGGGTGGGCAGGGAGAAAAGTGCAACAATGAATGAATGGAAATCCAAAATCGCTGTAAATTTTCATTAAAATTAATAATAATAACAAAAATTTTTAAAAGAATGTTATAGCTGAAATTAACTACCTGTTCTTTTTCCTCCACAAAAATCTAAATAATCCTTTTATCTAACAATTTTTGGCTACTTTATATTTTTGTAAATGGGAAATATGGGATTATTTGTCTTTGGGGATAGTTTTAATTAAGATTTTCAACTACTTTACCTTTTTGAATGGGAAATATAGGATTTTTTGTCTTTGGGGGTAGTTTTAATTAAGATTTCAGGGGAACATACCTTTCTGAGATTTTCCAAATATTTTAATAGGCAAATAAATATAAGAAAATACACTATCAAAGATAATTAAGAAGACAAAGTAGTACATTTTTAAAACATTTTTGCCCCTTTAAAAAAATATTATTCTTGAAGTAATAAATGAAAGTTTCTTATTGCTAAATATGCTTATATTAAAGTCAACAGTACTGAAAGTCAATATAATAATATGAAAAAATAACTCATATTTCACACTAACCTTTTGCTTAAGCATTTCTTGATTCGTTGAAAAACTGCTATGTGAAAAAGATGATGATGAACTAAACAGGGAACTCTTGCTGCTAGATGATGTATGAAATGTTGATGTTTGTTTTACATAATACCAACTACTGTTGTAATATTCATAATTAAAATCATTATTTACTTTCACCTAAAAAGAAAATAAAACCTTTTACTGTCATTAAAATAAGGCCTTGGATGTAACCATGACACTTGTATCATGAACCCTTTAACATGAATTCTTCTTTATACAACTGTCACCAGAAGACAAACTCTTCATTAAGAAAATATAAATAAACATTTACACAAGACACAAAGAAAGGGGTGTATATATAAAAATTCAAATATTTTCTTTTACTTCTTAGTAAATTTTTTTTCTCAGTAAACTTAAAGCAGTTCTAATAAACTAAAGGAAAAGATCATTATCATAAGGCTAGTCAGTATATGAGTATAGGGTGTAAAGCTTATTCCATAAAAATAAATATCTTAAAGGATTCAAGTGGTGAAGTATGTAACATATCAGGTTGCTTGAAGTAAGGATAGCAGTTCAAACTGACCTATTGCTCCACTGGAGAAAAATGTGAAGTCTCCTCTCATGAAGAATTGCAGCCTTGGAAATCCAATGGAGAGTCACTACTAGTCAGTACTGAGTTTTGGGGTGAGTTGAGATGGGCTTGTCTTGGTCATACTGATCAGTCAGCTTTTCAGTGTTGTATGACTTTTTCAGGGAGCTCTAGTACAAAGACCATAAAGACATATGCTGCTAATACAAAGGCCTTGGCTGTCTGGTAGTTTGAATTCACCAGAGACTCAAAGGAAGAAAGATACATAACCTCATCCTGAAAAATTTACAGAAACTCTTTGGAAGGTTAGCTATGAGTTAGTTCCATGAGACAATGAGTTGTTTGTTGAATTATTGAGCTGGCTATTCCAACTATGACAAATTGAAGAGGAATAACTTCATATTCATTATAAAAAATAATACTTCAAGATCCATCCCGAACTACAACATTGTCAGTGCTAGGATAATATCCACAACCCTTCCAAAAAAAATCAGATAGCTCTAGTGTCCTATATAGTAAGGAGTTGCACTGTCAACCTAAAGGGAGGCAGTTCAAATCTACCAGCTGCTTCATGAGGGAAAAATAGGAAATATCTTCCTTTGCAGTTTACACCCTCTGAAAACTCTCCAAAGGGTCAGCCATGAGTCGGTTTCAGTTCAACAGTACACAAGAACACCAAGAAGAAAGATTATTTATATTACCCACCGACTCATAAACACGATAAAAAAAAATTAAATATTTGCACCAACTCCTGCAGTCTGAAACTAACCAAATATATAACCAAATTCCATTGATAACTACTAGTAACTGGAATATGAAAATAGGAAACGAAGTATAAACATCAAAGCTGGAAAATAGGGGCATGATGATAGAAGGAACACCAAGTTTACGTGATTCCTCTCTCCCATTGTTGCAGAGTCAGAACTGACTCCTAGCTCACTCCCCATTAGCTTTCTATGGCTGTAAATCACATGGGTGGTGTGATGTGAAGGATTTATTGTTCAAAATTGCTTTCCTAGCTATCAATTGGAGGGGGGGTCATATAAAGAGGGCATGTTATTCTATCCAAAAGGAAATTGGTAGTCTCACCACTGAAATGAGCTAATTAAGCAGCAGAAATTAAGGATCTCAACCAACAAGAAAGAGAAAGCAAGGGCATGTCCTTTGGGGCCAGACATTGCTACGGCAGCCAGACTGAGATCCATCCGCTTGAGAACAGTAGCCATCTCAGCAGGGAACCAGAGACCAACCTGGGACTTGCAACAGTTGACTTGTGCCTGACTTGTAACTATTGCCCCACAAAGTTAGAGGGGAAGGGAAGGGAAGAGGAGGGAAGGGGAGAGGAGGAAAGAAAAGAAGAAAGAAAGAAAAGGAAAGAGAGAGAGAGAAAGAAAGAAAGAAAGAAAGAAAGAAAGAAAGAAAGAAAGAAAGAAAGAAAGAAAGAAAGAAAGAAAGAAAGAAAGAGATAAATTGGATGTTAGAAGAGGATCTGAAACTTTGCTGTAGGGTGTAGAGATTTAAAGCAAAGCGAAGAAATGATAAGGTAAAAGAGCTGAGCATGTTTCAAAAAGACAAATTAAAATATTATTATTAAATGTAAAGAGGCGTGGAGTTAGGAAGCCCAAGAAGAAAAAAGTGGTTAGCATTTCCTCAAATTGAAGAAAAATTCAACATTTGAGTTGCAATATTGAAGGATTCTAAAGGCAAAATACTTAATAATGGAAGACACAATTAAAAAGAAAGATGGAAAAGATGCACAGAGTCACTGTACCAAAAAGAATTGGATAGTATGCAACCATTACAGGTGGTATATATAAAGAACCAACAATGTTAACAGAAGACATTCAAGCTGCACACAAGGCATTGGCAAAAAATAAGTTTACAGAAACTGATGGAATATTAATGAAGATGTTTCAGCAAATGCTATATAGAGGTGCTAACTCATTTATGCCAAAAATTTGCAAGACAGATACTTGGCCAGTCACATGAAAGAGATCCGTATCTGTGCCTGTTTAAAAAAAATGATAGCTCACTAGAATATATAAATTATCTAGAAATATCGTTACTATTACTCATAGGTAAAGTTTTCTGATGATGGTTAAAAACAAGTTGTTGCATTAAATAGGCATGGAACTGCCAAAAAATAAAAAATGGTTTCAGAAGACTTTAGATGAATCTTAGTTGAAATCAGAGAATACCTGAAAGATATTTATTCTCCCCAGCAACAATAGCAAAGTTCAACAAACCAGAAGCAGCAAATGCTGACGAGGTTGTGGAGAGATTGACTGGAACCCTTATTCACTGTTGATGGGAGTATAAAACAGTGCAACCATTATGGAAGGCAGTATGGTACTTTCTCAAAAAGTTGGAAATAGAAATACCATTTGACCCAGCAATTCCACTACTAGGAATATACCCTAAATAAACCAGAGCTGCCACCCAAATAGATACATACACATCTATGTTTATTGCTGCATTATTCACAATAGAAAAGAGATGGAAGCAACTCAAGTGCCCATCAACAAACAAATGAATGGAGAATTTGTGGTATATTCACACAATTAAATACTGTGCAGCACTGAAAAACAATAAACTCAAAATATTATACAACATGGGTGACCCTGGAGGACATTATGCTGAGTAAAATATCTCAGTCAAAAAGGACAAATACTACATAACCTTGTGGTCATAAAATAGGACACACAAGTGGGTCTGGGAAGAGACTAGAAAAAGAGTGGATAAATAATGAACACTGAATAGTGATCAGATGAGGGGAAGAATGGTCTGAAAGGAACATATGATTATTCTGTTATATATATTACAGCAATCTGGAACATGGGGTGCATTGCAGAGATGGATCATAGAGAGGGAAAGGAAAAGGGGAGGGGAATGTGCAACAGTTGCCTTCTAGGTTTCTTTCTTTTCAATTTCCTTCCATCATCTTTTCTTCCTTCCTCCCCTCTAGAGTACAATATGCAACTAAGAGCAGGAGTCTAGAGTTAGACTTAACAAGTATCTCAGACTCATGGGAGTAGTTCATCCTGAGTGATTCAGAGCAGAACTGTGCTCCACTGGGTTTTCAATGGCTATGGCTTCCAGATAATCTCCAGGCTTTTCTTCTGAAGATTCTGTCAATCTTCCAATTAGTAGTCATGTGCTTTTATATAACTGCTTGTTCAACCAAGGGACTCCTGGAGCTAAACTAAAAAAGAAAGAAAGAAAAAAAAAGACCAAACCAAAAACAAACCAACACCCATGATACTAAACTCACTGTCATTGGAATAATTCCCTATAGAACAGAACAGAACTGCCCTATAGGGTTTTCCAAAGCTGTAAATCTCTTTAGGAGCAGATTATCACATCATTGACTGATGGGTTCAAACTTCCAACCTTTAAGTTAGCTTACTTAGAACACTGAGAACTAAGTAAGGATTGAACTCAATTCTTACTTAGAACACATTCTTACTTAGAGCACTGCACCACTAGAGTTCCTTTGGAACCAGACAGTTGGGGTTCAAATCCTAGATCTGTCACTACTGCTTCTGTGACTGTGCTTGCTGTTCTTGTCATTGCATTGAGTATGACTGAGAGACTGCTGAAAGACTATGACTATATATTGCAACCCTATGATTAACAGATCTAAGTCTGTCATATCCTGCACCATCTTCCTCGTCTCTGACATACTTGAGCCCATAGTTGGAATCACTATGTAAATTCATATTTTTTAATGCCTTCCTGTCTTGCAATGACCTTCTACCTTTCCAAGAATGATGTCTTTTTCCAAAGAACACACCTGTCTATCAACATGCCCAAAGTATGTAAGATGAAGCTTCTTCATGCACGCCTCTAAGGAGTACTCTGGTTGCACCTTCTCCAACACTTATCTGTCCTTTTGATAATCAATGGGATATTTAGTACTCTTCCAGGCCATGTTTTTTGCAATCACTTGTTATGCATCAAAGAGTTGGACAATGACTAGGGAGGACAGAAGGAGAATTGATGCCTTTGAGCTGTGGTGCTGGAGAAGAGTATTGAGTGTACCGTGGACTGCCAAGAAATCAAACAGATTCATCCTGGAGAGGGTTAAACCAGGCTGCTCCTTGGAGGCAAGGATTCTGGGGGTTCGCCTGACATACTTTAGACATGTTTGTAAGGAGAGACAGGTCTTTAGAGAGGGACATCATGCTGGGTAGAGTGGAGGGACAGCACAGGAGGGAAAGACCCTCTATGAGGTGGATTGATTCAGTGACTGGGGTAATCGGGACGGGTGTGTCAGAGGCAATGAGATTGGCACAGGATAGAGCACGGTTTAGGGCTGTTGTACATAGGGTTGCTATGAGTCACAAATGACTCGATGGCACATAACAACAACAACAACAACTCCAAATCTACAACTCAAAGGCATCCATTTTTCTTCTGACATCTTTATTCACTGTCCAGCTCTAACATGCGTAGTAAGTGATTGAGAAGACCATGGCTTGAATCAGGCACATCTTAGTCTTCACACTGACATCACTGTTCTTCAGTACTTTTTAAAGGTCTCTGATAGCAGACTTCCCCAGTGTAATAAATCTTGATTTCTTGACTG